TAACTTTATAGATTCCTATTTTTCCTACTTACAGTATTTTTGGTGTAATGAAAAATTACTGCACTTTTTTTTTTATTTGAAGCTTATACATGAGAGATATTTATAACTTTACGATGAACAAAAAAGTAGACAAAAGAAGTAATACATGTGCTGTGGCACCTGTTTTAAAGTATTTACGTATGTACCCTAATAGGCACATTTGTGAAAATATTGCACAAATATGACATTATAAGTGACGACTATTTCTTGCATTTTTTCATATGCAATCATATTTCTACATATTTTAAACATCACATTGCTGAATTTCTTTTCTCAATTAGTTGACAATTTCTTTGTGAAATTAATTTTGCAAATATACTGCTAAGATGATTTGCCATATCGTTATTCTTTTGCCGAAATAGTATTTGGAAAGTAATTTTGTAAACATCTACAAATATTTCAGAAAAAATCAATGTTTTTGCATCTATTTCCTAAAATATGTCTGTATAATTGCAAATTACAATTTTAGTGCAAGATTTCGTCACATAAGTTTGTAAATGGTTTCCTATCAGAGTAGGTACAATATTATCACACAGTTTGACAATACTTTTCTAAACATGTATGTTATTAGGCACACTGTTCTGGTTTTGTATATATTCTCGTCAAACTTTAAGAATTACGTTTGTTAAATTAGAGACACCGAAATACCTACAGAATACTATNTAAAAGTCTCGTTAGTTTGTTTTACTGAATGGATTATTAAATTGTATGAATATTAAATTCAGTAGACTTGGTAGTGTGTTGAGTTTTACTAAACGCGAAATTGTAAAAAACGGACCTTTAGAAACATATTTCATTGTTTTTATTATTGTTTAATATATAATAAGTTTGAATGATGACTATAGAAATAAAAGACTAACGATAATAAATATTGTGATTATCTACGATCGATAGTTTGTCGCGCCACACATATTTATAGCGATTTCGGCTGGTCTGCACTGGTGTGCTACCTGTTTAGAGTTGGTGCAAGTGTGTGCAGTGCGTACACTCATGTGATGTTGCACTGGATATTTCGACCATAGTAGTGTATATGTCTGTTCGTTTTACTCAAACTGGCCGCTCCAGGTCGCTCCAGGGCTGTGTTCAGTTAAGCAAGATGGAACGAACTAATGGAGGAAATCCAGGAAATACAGGAATTAATTAGTTCCAATTCCTGTATTTCCTGCATTTCCTCCAGTAGTTCGTTCCATCCTGCTTAACTGAACACAGCCCAGGTCAGAGCCCATCCTCTTTACTCTACGTTGGAAAAAGAAGGATAAACTCTGACCCAGAGCGACCCAGAGCGACCAGTTCAGGCAAAACGAACAGACCTTATATCAGCCGAACACGAGACCACACCAACTGGCTCCAACTAATTTGTGAGAGCCACTTTGTGTACACTCAATATGCATCTATGCGATGTACTGAGCTCAGACGAATACGCGGCACCAGCAAGGAACTGCACCATTCGACCAGCCGAACACACAAGTTACACCGACACTCGAAATGTGCAGTCGGTGCAAACCAACCGAAATCGCTATTAGTATTATCTATTTCAATTGGTAATATAACTGGTAATTTAAAACGGCAACATGCAGTGTGCTTTTTATTTTTTACAATTATACATTTGTTAAACAATTATAAGAATACGTGTTGCAGTAATCGTTTATTGGGATTTATATCATAGAATATTATTTGTGATGGTCTACATACCGCTGCGTGAAGTATTGTTGGTAAGAGGATGTCGAATCGTCCTGTTATACCGACGAGATATGTCATTTTAGTAGAAGTAACTAATCTCATTATTTACTGTATCAAATAAAAACCGCTTTTCCAAAAGTAAAGAACGTAAAGAAACACTTATCGGTCTGATGCTTTTTCTACGATTTAGATCGCGTTATGTCTGATTCTTATTTGTGAAGATTTTACAATGCGAAAGAATAGCTATAGCAATAAGCAAGAGACACAAAATTCCCACTCGTCAAAAAGTTTATTGTTATTGTTTATTCTGTTCTCTGATCTGCATTTATACATGTGTATTTTTAAATGTTAAAGTCCGNTGTGGTTACCGTTATTTATAATTTTGAACCTTATAAAGCCAATGGATAGTATTTTTAGCGCTTTTGGTATTTTTTTGCATTGCGCAAGCGGCTTCACAGCGACACAAAGCGTTCTTTGTATACTGGCGCTTCAGTAAGTCGGTGCTGTTGCGCGCTTCATTCAATTTTTGCAGTCCGGTGCCTGCTCGGACGGCGACCATGTTCAACAGTTTTTTTCCGATCAACATTAGTTTTGGTAAAAGCCTAAATACACTTGTCGCGTGTCGCGACGAAAGCAGACCGGAGCTAGTTGCGACACGGGGTTAGTTGTCAAACTGCTATTATCTTGCTTACTAAATCATGAAAAATATTCCTCTTTATATTGTAAGTTGCTACTATTGTTTTAGTGACGTGTATGAAATAGCTTTTCTTAACTTTCAACGGACGGCGTGTTCTTCGGCACCTTAATTCGCCGGACATGGGTCGTTTTCGTCTTGNGCTTTTTAAAAATATTAAATATTTCTAAAAAAATCTGAAACAATGTGTATATACTTTTTACACTGTCTATGTTAAGACACCATCATTAAATTTAGTGAAAAAAAAATTTTAATTCATAATTTTTAGCAAATATGACAAGAAACTTACTTTTTTCAGAAAGTAATTTGCTCCAGACAAAAACGACCCATGTTCGTCCGTTGAGAGTTAAAAACATGATATATGATATTTACGAGCACTTTTGTAAAACTGGACATGGCAAGTAGATTTTTTGGTCACGATTGGTTAGTAATTTCATTGATTTTAAAATTTCTAATTGCAATTTTATCTTAGGTAGAAGAAAAGTGGTAGTGTTAAATAAGTTTTCCTATATTTATTTATTCGTCATCGCATTGCAGTTTATAAATATAATAAAAAGACATATGTGAAAATACGATTTGTACAAGTGTGGGTTATGCTAAACCAAAAAAGATTTCTATTAATAATTCACAAGAAAAAAAACTAGTTAATTATATATTACGTGCTTCAGATATTAACTTTCATCTTACAAGAAAATCAGAATTTTGGCTTAAGTAACAACTAATTCTGAAAACGGGGCACGTTGACAAACTTGCACGATCGTGTTTAACATTAAATAACTGTGATTGTAAAAAGATATATGAAAATAATATTTTTTAAACAATTAATAATGATTTAAGGCTCGTTGAAATTAAAACAAGACATATATAAAGCCTTACGAGCCGATTCCGGGATGTTGAACGGAAACTGTACATGCCCAGATAGCCAAGTCTGTCACAATCAGATCATGCAAGTGTCTGCTATCACCTGTTGTCAACAAAAAGGCTACAAATCTGATACAGAAGTTGTTATTATTGATTAAGTCTACAAATTGGTGCCAAAAATCGAGCAGATTTTGGTCACAAAATCTGGCAGCAGATTGGCTGCAGAAACCGAGCAAGATCAATCATTGTAACATTATATAATAAAATTATTGCATTGCATTTTTTTATTTTAAACGAAAAAAGTAGTTAATTCAAAAGACTTAACTATATTTTATGTTATAAAAATAACATTNTGAAAGCTTTTAAATGCATCATTTTACGTGAATCGCCAAAAGCTGCAGATTCTGCTCGGTTTCTGTTGCCAATCTGCCGTTAGAGTGTGCGTGCGCAGATTTTGTTCGGTTTCTGCCGACAATCTGACGTCAAGTCATGTTAGCAGATCTTGCTCGGTTTCTGCAGCCAATCTACTGTCAGATTTTGTGAGCAAGATCTGCTCGATTTTTGGCACCAATTTGTAGACTTAATCAATAATAACAACTTTTGTATCAGATTTGTAGCCTTTTTGTTAACAACAGGTGATAGCAGACACTTGCATGATCTGCTTTTGACAGACTTGGCTATCTGGGTATATACCCAGCAAACATTTTGGATACAAAACCATATCCATCTGTGTCCTCAGTAGGATATGGTTTGTTAATCATGTCTGTCAACATGTGAAATGTCAAAATGTGACCAAAATGATGACAGAGTCTACCACAAGCAAAGCAAAGTCAAATTATCGCCAAACTGAAGCCAAAGTCCGGAATAGGTTTGGTCATTGTCTGTTGGCGCCAAATTGCAAACAGTCCGCACGTATACACGAACAGACCTGCTTGGCGTTTGATGGCAATCTGTCGTCAATGCGTTTAACAGATCGACCCGACTTTTTTGTCGTAAACAGATTTCTGGTACAATTTTTCGAACTGTTCGGTCACAAAGTATTGCTAAAAGCAGATCTGCTTGCAATCGTCCATCTATTTAGTGTTAATTTCACTGACATATATGGAATCGTTTTGGCTCTAATGTATTTATCAACAAAGTTGTTGCGTTTTTTCTTTCTGTGGGCTAACAATTTTGGCAGTGTTTTCGTATTGTAGCATTTCTGCAAACAGTTTCTGTTACCAA